TGACCAACTCTCTGCAACGCGTGAAAAGAGGACTTGTGGTCGTGTTTATACATAGGTATACAAAGGTATCATGCGGTGGTTTTGCCAAGGCTCTACGCGTCAGAATGCACAAAATATTGTCCCGAGCACGTGGGCAAAGCGCAAAAGGTCAGCGCTCACATTCTTTGAACAAATTGAAGTGTTGATGTTGCTTCAAAAGCGGCACCAATCCCAAAAACGATGCTTGGTCTTGTGACTGTACACAATTTAGCACTCGTGAAACGGACAGGTTGTTTACTTTACTGTACATGGGCTGGGCTCAAAATTGGTGACAGTGACGAATAGTGCCACACGACAATACACTCACCAAATCCTGATGACCTGCAACTCCACAACAAATGTTGACCGTCGCTCACATGTAGACGATGCCTCCCAACAACTCAGCAACGGATTGACAATTACTTCACTTCGAGTGATCCCCACCATGACATTTCAATCTGACAAGTTTTCTGGCATGTATTGAAACATTCGGCATTATTTCTGGCACATTCTGCTGCTTGTCAGATGTCACTGACATTCTTGCAAGACAGCGGCGTGCCGCCGGTCAGGTGTTTGGTCCGATAAAGGCAAAGAAAGAAGAGGTGTACAGGACACACCGCAGAAACATTTTAAAGTATGTCGCTCTATCTGGTATAGGGAGCCACACTCAGATGGCACTCGCAAAACGCCTTTGGAACACCATTTGGTTGTGAATTTGGCATCTCGGATGCCATCTAGCAAAGCCAGCCTCAACCAAGAACAGGCTGATGGCATCCAGATTTTTTGTTACAATCCATTTGCACAAGAATGCATAAAATCTCAATGATACCCACAAGTGGAGATGCAAACTGCCAGGAACAAATAGATTGCATTCAGTATGAAACATTGCGGATCAACTTGCATGACCCCTCCAGGAAACAAGGACGTTGAAACCCTGCTCTCCGGCAAGAGGTTTGGGGAACCCGTTTCCATCTGCTTGTTCTACGAGCCAGACGCCATCTGAGTGTGATCCCCTAATTAAATATTCTAAGACTCTACTTGCCATATTGTTTGAAATGTTTGTGGTTGCGTGTGTGTTAGTGGCTATGTGTTTGTGTTGTGGCTATGTGTTTGTGGTTGTGTGCTGTGGCTGTGCGTTGTGGTTGTGTGCTGTGGGTGTGTCTTTGTGGTTGTGTGTTGTGGCTGTGTGCTGTGGATGTGTCTTTGTGGTTGTGTGTTTGTGATTGTGTCTTTGTAGTTGTGTTTGTGGTTTTGTTTTTGGTGGTTATGTGTTTGTGGTTGTGTGTTGTGGTTGTGCTGTGGCTGTGCGTTGTGTTTGTGTGTTGTGGGTGTGCCGGTGTGGATCCAAAAAAACATGTACACCCCGGTCAACAATCTCATAGAAAACCATTGCGCACAAGAGCGCGCTCCGCTGGCGGAGCGCGCTTGCGAACATGTCTGTATATAACTTCTCTGACGGGCCTCCTGACCCATAACCTTTACTACCTTTACCTTCGCGGCTCTACCACCTCAATTGCTGACAGAAGCGAACTGACCGAAACGACCCCACAGCAAAAGCAATGTGCCCACATGTTCCAAGCAGTGCGCCCCGCTGCCGGAGCGCGCACCTGTGTAAGGCAGCGTTGTTGTGGCAAAACGCACGACGCAGAAGGTTAGGGTATCAACGGAACAGGTTGCTTTGGTTACAGGCATGCGCTACCTGTTGGCGCTTTCTTTCACTGCCCTCGACCATGACAAGCCCCCACCCTCTTTCAATTTCGTCTGCGCAGCCCCCCGAGACTGAACGAACACCAAGGATTGTGGAGGCCAAACTTTCGTGAGCTTTGGTGCTTTGCTGCTGCTGCTGTTGCAGCCGCTGCTGCTGCCACTGCTGCTGCTACTGCTGCTTTCTGCTTTGCTGTGCTGCAGCTGCTGCTTTGCTGTTGCTGCTGCCACTGCTGCCGCTGCCGCCGCCGCTGCTGCTGCTGGCGCTACCTTTGTGCTTTGCTGCTGCTGCTGCTGCTGCTGCTTTGCTGCTTGCTCCTGCTCAGAACCTTCCAACCTCTACCCTTCGTCCACCTCCATCGCCTCAAGTTCTTTGCGGTTGTTTGTTGCCGTTTTCTGCTGTAGTTGTGCGCTGTGGTTGTGTGTTGTGGCTCTCTTTTTGTGATTGTGCGTTGTGGATGTGGATCTGTCTTTGTGGTTTTGTGTTGTGCTTGTGTGTTGTGGATATGTCTTTGTGGTTGTGCGTTGTGGCTGGAGCTGGCGGTTCAAGTCTGACGGGAAACACTGTCGTTGGGAGCTGGTGATTGGGGTCCCGCAGGGAACACTGCCGTCCTACACTTGCGTTTGAGGTACTCTGCCATCCGACACTTGCGGTTGAGGAGGAGAAGGAGGAAAAGCAGACATGTGGCAACTGACATAAAGTCTGGCAACCCTCACCTGACAGGTGTTGAAAAAGGGATAGCAATCCCAAAGCCGAGACCAACATATATATATATAAAAACGTCCAGCCACGGACCCTCTAGTTCTAGTTTTGCTCATGTGATCCGAGTTCAAAACACCAAAGGGCATCGGAGGTCGGGGGAAAAAATCGCATTGCGAAGGAAAAACGTGCACGTTCTGATTACGGAATTTCGCACTGCGTCACTGGAGGCCAGCAATCGCCTAGAGGACTACATGGAGCGCTTGCAGCCGATTCGCGTCGGACACATTGCCATGCTCAAGGAGGTGGATTTTTTCAGGGCGATAGACATAATTACGAAGTATGGGGTGAGTGAGGAAGCAGAATCCAACCAAGCAT